TGGACTGATTATTGGTTTGCCAGCTATGTTTAATAGGAGAAGTAACTGAAGCTGAAATTATGCTTACTGGCAGTCTTTCAAGTTGATGAAAGCCAACTTTCTTTTACAGCTCAGTGTAAGAAAGTTTTTCTTATCTAAAGCACAGGACTTGGACACCAGTATTCACGATTTTTGCCAAATTCACTTCAGCAAACCTGCAAACTCTAACTATGCTGCACGCTTGCTAAACTGAATACTACTAACTGAATATTTTCAGGAATGAGAATAGATCTGAAGCAGGTTTGTATTCTTTTTCAACAAGGCCTTTACGCTGCCTTTACTTGTGTGCTTTTTGTGTCTAAAACAAACATAAAATAGTTTTTAAACAGCATTTAGTTCAGTGGTTCTTAACCTTGTTGGAGGTACCGAACCCCACCAGTTTCATATGCACATTCACTGAACCCCTATCTAGTGAAAAATAAAATGTGATTTTTTTCAAATTCAAGACATAGATATGTTTTTTACTGGTGCACAAAATGAGCCGTGCATGTCACGGCGGAGGCTCTGCCAAACCCCTCAGACCGACTCACCGAACCCCTAGGGCTCGATCGAACCCAGGTTAAGAACCACTGATTTAGTTGTTGTGTAAAAATGAATAGGGCATAAGGAGAAGGAACAGAATGATACTGGACATTTTTATACATACAGTATAGGTCTGAATGATGCCATATAAATATTTTGCATTTGCAATTTAGCTTTGTTCAAAATGTGCATTTTCTTTACTTCTTTTTATAAATTTACTTAATTATTGCAACATAAGTTTGCATGTAGGCTATGTAACTTTGCAAAATGTGAAAAGTACTTGAAAGAACTATACTGTTTGTACTGAGACATTTGATGACTCTGGGGATGTTCAGATGTTCAACTTGATCCTGTGCTTGAATTGGAAGAGCAAATTCATTCACTTCTTTACACATTTTTTTATTATTATTATTGTATAGACACCCCTTGAGAAGTGAATCATAACAGAAGTGAGTTTTTAGCATTTGTGTGAGTGCTTGATGTGAGAGGTGTTTTCTAGCTTTTGTTCAAATCATTTAAGAGTATCCTAATGTGCCACATCATTTGTTTCACAGAGTCATCTTGGAATGCTTCCTCGAAAAATGTTTGGAAAAGAATTGTCACTTAAAAAAACACATTGACAAACTATTCAAGTCAACAAAACACAGGGCTGTGGAAAAGCAGAAGAGGAAAATCAAGACATCGTTTTTGTCTGTGTCGCTAGGTATTTAACATTTCTTATGGTGTTTTTGGCATACAAAAAGTGCTCACAGGAATTCACAAAAATATTTGGTACGTGCTTAAGAAAACACTCTACTTGTTGTGGCACCAAAATCACACCAGCAGCTGTATTATTGACCAGTAGTTCCACATGCTGATGGTGATTGGACAGTCCATGGGATACAAGTGCAACTTAAAGCTTGGAAAGATGCATTTTTTTTAGTGATCATGATAAAGCAAAGCTTCACAATATGAATTAAAATGCCAGATTCAGAGTTTTTTGTGGAGATAAATTGCAGTGAATTAACCAAAGGCTGCATATTTCTAATAAAACATTCAGCTGGCTTGTTCCACTACAATAGCACCGGGCCATCAACACAATTCTTTATCTTCATTTCTTGCAGTGTGACACTTGAGAGTGTTGTGGCTTAAAATTTGCCGTGGTGGAAATCAAGTACGCTAAAATTGCCCCTTTTTATGCGCTGTTGATGCATTGTAAATGCTTAATGGGACTAGAAATAACAATAGCATGTCTATATATGTCTACCTCAGCCCTGTTATGTCTTTCCCTCAACTCATAAAATCAGTGAAAAGAGACTGCCAGTACTGTTATCGACCATAAAGTGAGTTTAATCTCAGGGTTAACTATACATACACAAAGCAGAAAGTTACGTCAAAGCAGTGTTTTATTTATTTACTCGGAATAGACAAATGTGTCAAGTAGGAAGTATCTGAATAGGCTGCTTCCTCTATAAATGTGCTTAGAAACATCAGTGAAATTGGCTCCTAAGGAATACTGCCTCTATAAATGCTTTTAAAAGTAGAGAGATTTATCATTTTAGGTAGAAAATATCTACTAAAATGCGCAGTCTTTACACATAACCTATTTCTATGCAAACTACGTCATTTCAGACAGCCAGTGATTCAAGCCCCAGTATCGGTTTTGCATTCTTATGAGCCTGTCGTGTTGTGAGCAGCATTGACTTGTATTTATTCGCCAGCCACCAATGTCAACAAAGAGTGAAAATAAAGAAAATCAAAACTTTGTAATCCTAAATTGTGTAACGAAAGGCTGTTGGTGTCATTCGAAAGCCACCCCAATGATCGGGCCATATTGATCCCTTTGCCCAGGAGTGTGAGGTGAGCTGGAAGTAACCTGAGCTGTGCCTCCAGAAAATGCAGTCACTGATAGTGTCGAATAGATTGAGGAGCTGTGACTTTTCTAATTAGAGTTCAGAGCAAACCCAGCTGGATTAGCTAGTGCATGGCTCTAGGGTAGCTATTAACACCAAGTCAACCAAACAAGAAATCAGAAAGATGAGAGGAGAAAGAGAGCAGAGGGCCAGGGAAAGGCTGATTGAGCTTGTCAGGCCCGATATGAATGTACTCAGAGCTCGGTCAAAATAGGGTTTTTTTCTTTTTTTTAAAATCAGATACATGACCTGCAATTTGGAATTTCTGATGTTCTCCTTGTAAATTCCTATTCATTTTGTAGTATCTCAAACAGCAGCTGTAAATTGATTTTTTTATTTATTTTTTATTTTTTTGCGTACACTGAATAAAACCCAGAGGATATTATTCAATCAGGACAGTTCAGATAACATTTTGTTTTTGTGACTTTCTCGTAGTGTAGGGCTTTGTAGCAGCTCATAAAACAAAATCTATAAAGAAAGAAAACTCACACATATTTCTGAATATGCAAATTTAATGTACAACTTCACGTGCCTGAGTTGTTGCCACACTAACAGCTTACTTGAATCTTAATTTGACTTATTTTACCTTTCAGGAATACACCCCCTCCTCCTCCTCACTTTGACAGTTAATAAACCTACAAATTTCATGCTTACATAGACACATATACATATGCTCCACCTCTACGAAGACATCACCACCTCGTGCTTAGGCGCGCACATACACTCATATGTTCCAAACCCACTCGCCTCAACCTCAAGGGAGACATAAGAAATAAATTCGACACTTCCGCTTACCCAAGAAGCGCCTTAAGGACAAAGAGAAATTTAATCTCGGATAAGCCTCCCGATAGAATCTCTGCATTAGCCCTCTGCTGCTGGTTCACAGCTATCCCATCAACCCTTACCTCCCACACCTTGGCACAATTCCCCTGCATCCCTCCTCCTCTACACTGATTTTTTTTTATTTCCTCTCCTTCTCTCCCTCCCTTTTCTCACCACTTCTTTTCACTTACCTGCTTCCTGCTTTGTCATTAAATTCAGTTTTCTTCACCTCACTGCTAATCTTTCCCCTTTTACGTCCCTCTTGTCTCCTCATGACTTGTCCATCTCATGTCTTCACAGTCTCTTCATAGTCTCTTCCCATTCTTCCGGTGAGGCTGTATCTGTTCCCAGGTGTGGTACATACTGTATATATCTATATTTCTGTTCCTCTCCCTTGTCGGAGAGCTTTAATACCATTGGTATTAAATGCTGGCACGACCTCCTCGGCATACTTAAGCAGGCAGTTGTAAGGCTGTTTGAGTGCTTAATATTTTCAGCACGCTGCTGACTTAAGCCCCTTAAGTGCTTTGGCAACACTTATTCCACGGTGGCACCAATGAAGCCCATTAAAAATTTGATTTGGATGAGAGAGAGGGGGGAAAAAGGAAAAAAAGAGGAAGGGGGATAGGGGACACAATTTGCCATTACTTCCATTACTTCCGCACACACTGCGACAAAAACAAATACACCCATCAGGGGGTTGCCCACACAGGGACTTTGCAGACTAACAAATACGCACATACTCACCAGTTGTGGGTATGATTTGCAATGTGTTCTTTTTGCCTGTAATTATGTCCTTAGTTAATCTATAAAGTACATTGCCATGACCCTATTTTGATAAAAGCTCTTGATAAATAAATTTGACTTTATTTGACTTGATGATAGGGAACAGCATGTTTCAAATTAAATGCATTAAGATGTTTGTAAATACAGCTTGTGGCACATTAGGACTGCTAGTTTTTGATTAGTTGATTAAGAACAAGTAGAGGTGCTATTATAAAAGCAAAGCTGTGTTGCCTTTCGCATTTTACAGGACAATGAATGTCAAAGACGTGGAGTCTGCTGCAGTTAGCTTCCACTATTGGCTTTGTATTGCAGGTTTTATTGCCAATAGCAGTAATGATAGTACATGAGCTTGAACAAAGGAATTTCATTATACACAATGTGGTGAAACAAAATTTACTGTCAGGTTGGTCTAGCTGTTAGCAATGATTTCTGTTTCATCAGTATAAAAATATGGAGCCGATACTTTTTGATGGGCCAAACTCGCATCAGCGTAACTCATATATACTCATAGTCATGTTCATTTTTCCTTTCTCCGCATCCAGTTTGAATTACAAAGACAAAAAACACGTACCCACTTCTTGTCAGCAGACAGCCATGTGCATCGCTGCAGCCATAAAAAACGCCCATTTAACATAAAGAGGCACTATGATGCCTCTGTTCGTGGCTGCACGGATAAATTAATGGCTAGTAGATAGTGAAAGGGCTAAACAGTCAACCAAATGTACACTCTTCTTCAGTCAACACTGAACAGTCAAGCACAGTTCACACACGCACACACACTGCCACTGTTTGTTGACCTGAAAGGCATCCATTGTCACTGCTTCCATCCACACACAGACATCTCTAACCTTCACAAAATAGTATGCCAAATATGCAGACACTGATCCCACACTGACACACGCACACAGAGTCTAAGCAAGGAGAGGGAGGCCAGGCTTATATAAGCAAGTGAACGACAGAAAACAGACAGATGGATTTGATCAGCAGTGATAGCACGCTGGGATTATGACAGTTTTCATAGATCAACAGGAAAGAAGCAAAACGAGGACAAGTTGTGGGAACTAACTAGCTTCTGCGGACCAGAGGATTAAAAGAAGAGGACAGAGAACGGGCGCTAGAATGGATAAACTCAGCACAATTTGAGATCAGTTTTAACAAGTGGATAGACTTTGTTTCCATCTGAGTGCTGCCAGGCCCTTAGACCTGCCAGACCCGAGCTGCTGGTGTACACCAACACAGAGTAATTTTCTCAGCATCAGCCAGTTGACCAATGAAGTCAGCGCTGTAGGGAAGATTGGCGATGATCCGCTTTCAGCTTTGCCAGGAGTGTCAGAGCAATCGCCGTTAGAGCTCATTGTGTTTGCAGTAGCGCAGAGAGTGAGAGAAAGCAGACAGTGTGTAGTAATCTAAGGATGACACCCGCACTTTATTCCATCAGATAGTGCTCAGTGAGGTGTGCGGTGCAACTCGCTGCGCTTTGTCTCTACACTACAAACACACACACATTAAGCACTCACAACTACACACACACAAACACACCAGAGCCACACACTTACACAGACCAACAAGGCATCAGGTCCTGACAATCAGCGAAACTGTGTCTGGACCTTGAACACAGCAGGGTTTGAGATCAGTGTGTTTGAGCGAGAGTGTAACTGGAGTGCACCCAGGCGCCGACTGCAGCCAGTGGAACACGTTAGAAAGGAAGCGTTAGGAAAGCCGATGCTGCATGATTAAACTGTCCGATAGCCTGTGATTATTCAAGTAAAATCAGTAAAATCTCTGTCCATTTGCGCTGCAGTGTGTACATGATAGCTCATCTGCAAAGTTCTAGCATCCAAGCGAATAATGGTAGAATTCTTGTGAGGATCACGTGAAAGTCTCCGGGGTAATATAGCATACCAAAATATGTAGCATCTGAATGTAAAGTATCTTACAACAGTTTTGTTCAGTGCTTTGCAAGTTCGTTCTTCTACACAGGGCAAGCACTTTCACTCTGTCTTTTCAGCGCTGCACTCGAGCTCAATGGATTTTATTTAACCTTGGCTATCTCTAGATGAGTTGCAGTAAGATAGTGTCTCAGTCTCTCAAGAGGTCTGGATGGTTTGGTATTAGCTCTAAGGAACATTGACTTCTCTGCCTACTGATTTGTTGGGTGAGAAGTGCTGAAAACCTTGTCTAACTCATTAAAATACAATCTGTTTGAGGATGAACGTTGTTGCCCTAGATTCTTCTGTCCTTAAGGGCATAGCAGTGGAGATGGTTCTATTTTGAAAGTTGTAATATTGTCAACACCAGCAGAGAAAATCAGACCTGCTTTGGATGTCAGTTTCATTTGTTTTATTTGACTGAAATTTTGTAATACTGATGGTTTATTTCCCCTAAATAAGTGTGGTTTGACCCAATGGAGACAGGTTGCCTATTTGTTGTTGTGGTTAACTGTGTGGCTCATTATTGCTCAGACCCTGCTATAAGCTCCAAGTGTGACGCTGTAGTATACAGCTGAAGAATTAATTAACCTGTACCTCATTAAGTTAATTGCATAGCTGCCATTACTGAATACTCTTGTTAGTATACGGTCTGTTTGGTACTGTTTGGCATTGTTTTTCTCAGTTTATTGATTTTGAGAATCTCAAACTTTGGTCTCAGGAGACTTAAAGCGCTACAATAAAAAATTAGATTTTCTTTAAATTGAACTGAGCCTCAGTAGGACTTTGCAGTAGCAAATCTCTCACATTACATGGAATTAAAACAATGCATAGTCTAAATTCTGTCTAAGGAACACAAGGAGCTATAGTCAACAAATGAACTTTGTTGCTGTAAGCTTTTCTCTGTGTGCATTGTGATATAGTGTCTAAATCGCTTGCTCTACAATTGCTCTGAGCTCTGGCAAAACGTTTGTGTGTTGCGTGCAAACGCTGGCTAGAAGTCAGTCTTGTGTGGCTTTGTTGCTAAGGCAGTTTCTTTGCATGTGCTTGGATGCTGTATAGCACAGTTTGTCCTCATACAACAACAGTTAGCATGTGCATTAGTTGGCATTGTTTTTGAGAACAAATCCAAGTGCATATATGTGTGTGTGTGGACTGGTTTGTCAGTAGCACTGCAGGCAGGGTCACAAAGGAGCCATTGATCAAACAGTCACAGCCACACACACACACACGCGCGCATTTATACATACAAACACAAGTTCTCAATACACAATGAGGCCTGTCCGAAGCTCTGTCCTCTGCCGCCTCCTTCCTGCTCCTTACTCTCTTGCTCTGCGCAGCCTAGTTCTGGTCCTGCTCTGCATCACTCGTAAGTCCTGCACTTTTTCACATGAACTCACACCCACATACTGGTTAAATGAAATGCGCACAGTTGTTTCTACTGCTACTCGCTAAGTAAGTCAAGGGAGCAAGCATTTCATTTGCACGTGTAAACACTCTTAGTATAGACAGTATACATCAGTGTAATTTACATTTTAACTCCCTGCAGATATTCATCCAAATGTTGTATAAAAAGAATAAGTCATAAGTAATTGGTGTCCAAATGTGCAAAAAACTTTTGACCAAGGGACAGTAACACACAATGAAATCATTTTTCAGTGGACTGGTAATTATACTGATCAGATGCAACATTGCAGCTATATTGTGTACGACCCCATTGTGCTTCCAGAACAACTCTGACCCACTGGGACATGGAGAGGGTGTCATGTGGGTGTTAGCATTGGATCCTTTGGGTCTTGCGGGTCGGGGTTTCTCAGTGCTTTTGATTATGTTGCTGCTCAGCCTAATTTGAGTTTGGTAATTACATCTAAGGTTAAAGAGAGACAAAATGAAGACAAGCATGTATCCCCATGAGATGAAGAGACCAGGGAATAACTTGAGGACTTAAGGAAAGCAAATGAAAAGTAGAGAAAGCAAGAGTGTGGTTCAATAACCTAATGTGAGAACGTTAGATCCACAGAGTATGAGAGAATGGTGCAAGAGTGAAGTGCAAGAGACAAATATTGAGAGAGAGCCAGACTGACACAAGGAAAACACGATTTGGCCAGACAGACACTTGTACTGTATGTGAGGGAGGCAGGGAGCCGCAGAGGCAGAAAAAGTGAAATGGAAAGACAGAGATGGAGAACAGTGCACTCTGTGTGTGTATGGAAGAAAGACTGAGATGGAGCGGATGGTACAGAGATGAAACAAGACACTAAAAGACCTCAAAAAGAGTTGCATGAGATCGAGATTTGAAGCCAAGAGATGATTGATTGAACACAAACCAGAGCAGTAGATGAAGTGGAGTGAGATCAGCAGTAGAGTTGCTGCTGTGCTATTAATACCTCCTGTCATTATTATTATGAATTTAAAGCAGAGGAGATGTTGTTTCCCTGCTACTCACTAGTAAACAATATCCTTTTCCCTTCATTTAAAAATTCTATTACTTTTGAAGTGACATTAATAGTGATGGTACTATGATGGAATGTAGAGGGGGTCTTGGGTTGGGGTAATATGTGGGGAATAATCTATATGGAGAAGGAGTTTTTGTGTTGGCAGTCAGCTTTTGGCAGTCGGGGTTTAAATTTCAAGCCAGCAAAGCAGTTTCGAGTTGTGCCTTCAATGAGCATTCACATACACTCTCTCGCATGCGCCATTTCAAAGGAGTACGCACACATGATTTTAAATACATACACATATCATTGCATTCTATTTCCCACACATACACATCCATGAGTTTCACACATATGATATGCCCAATATACACACACCAAAGGAACATTTTGAAGGGGTGTTAAAACCAGTGCTTTCGGCTGTGTTGAATCTCCAGTGTAGTTGCCGTGGTTGTAATAGCCTTGTAAATTTCCTTTAAGCTGCTGTTGGGGTATGTGTAGTGGCCATTGTTGCAGGGTTGTTGGGACTGTGACAGACTCGGGCCGTAAAACGCTGCAGAGTAGATAGAGCTAACCAGCTTTGGCTGTCAGAAAATGTGGGGGAAAGGAGGGGAAAGAAAAGAGAGAAAGAGATGGTAATTTGTGAAGCATAAGAGGAGGTGAATAAGGGAGCAAAAAGAGTAATGGGATGGGTGGACAAGGGGAGCAGAGAGGGCTCAGACAGATACAATTCAGTGGGGGAGGAATGAAGAAGGTATGGGACAAGGCAGGGATGAGGTGATTGAAATACGCTAAAGGGCTAGAGAGACCTAAAGATGCAAAGGTCAAAATGAGAAATGTGTTGAAAGGAGGAGAGGGGGTGTGAAGAAAAAAAGGGGGATGAGAGCAGTAAAATAATAAGATTTCAGTGCAATGGAGGATGGAGGCAGTGTGACTAGGGAGCAAAATCAGAATGCTAAAAACGGGATTTGAAATATGTAAATAAATGAAAGTAAATGTTACTAATGAGAGGTCAAGAGTGAAAAGAGACAATTTTATGCTGATTTGCTGATTAGCAGTGCAGTTCTAATAGTACACCATTGGTTGATGGATGAAATGAGGTCTAAAGTTTCTGCTGGAGAGAGAGAAAGAGAGAGAGAGATTAAGAAAAACAGAGAAAAAAGAGGGTAGGATAGAAGGACAGGGCTGAGCTATATGACAAGTAATTAAGAGAAGAGAAAGTAGAGAAGATGAAAGAGGGGAAACGGAAACATTCGGTCTCTTGCTCCACTTATTTTTGTTTTGCCCTCTTGTCCCATTCACTCCTCTCACTTTTTTCTGTCTTCCCCTTGCTCCTTCTCTTCCCCTCTCCCCGCACACTATAAAAACAGCATGATTATGCTGCAGACTTGAGCTGCAGAACAAATCACATTTAGGGAAGGAGAGTGTGGAGATGGAACCAGCAGAGAGGCAGGAAAAGATTCCCACTGAGTCACAAAAAGAGAAAGAATGAGAGAGATTGCAAGGGGAATGAAAGCATATTGGAGTTCAGAATGAAACTATTGCAAAGCCAGGAAAAAAACTACATGAAGAAAGAAAAAGAGAGAGGGAGAAAGAGTTTAGAGACCAGAGATAACAGGGAAGATTTAAAGAGAAAAAAGTTGCAAAAAATCTCCTGAGGCCCAGGAGAGAAGCGGAAAGGGGACCTTTAGGACAGCATTAATGAAGAAGATGCATGATGAACGATGCAATAAAAGATAAGGGAGATGAGAAGGAGAAAGAAGATGGGCCGAAAGGAGAAGGAACGCTGAATGACGAGGAATCAGGGATTAGATAAGGCAAAAGGTGGGGAGGAGATGGATGGAGAGACTCTGGGTTTAAATAAAAAGAGGAAAGAGGGAGATGTGAGAATGAGATTAGACAAGAAGACAGCGGGAGGAGAGAATTATGAGCTGTGGATGAAGTAAAAAATCGGGGACAGGGTAGTACACTCAAAAACTGAGAAGAAAGTGTGAGCTTAGGAGGGGAAAAGAGGACTTCAGAAAGGGACTGAACAAAGGTAATGAGAGAGACGACAGCGAGATTTGTAAAGGATTATGTATTATTTATGTACAGGGAGAATTTTTTTTCTTGGAACTGGATTTGATTGGCAGAGTTCTGCCTCCCTGTGAGATAAAGTGATAATTTTAGACAGGGAAGAGAAAGAGGGGAGAGGGAACGGGAGAGAGTTGCGGGTCTGCAGTGGGAGGTTTGGAGTGGAAGAACGTCAAAGTCAGCTTTTTCATAGAGTCGGAACGCTGCAAAACTCTGTGATTAACCTAGAGCAAGTGTTCGTACACACATGCACATAAATATACACTCACGCATATAAACACTGCACACTTCATTTGCATACATACCGCAGAAACCGACTTGCCTCACGGGATAACGCAAGATAAAAATATGTACATCCAGATGGGAAGTGATGGAGAAGTTGCCAAAGGACGAGCCCTTATGAGTGGAAACTATGAGCTGCTGTTATTGTTTTAATTAAAGCGGTAACAACATCAGGGGTTATGCATTGTAGTCTACAGCACCAGTTCCCTTGTAAATCCGTGACCAGCATGCAAAGAAAACACAAGCACTTGGCCCTCGTCCAGTTGAAAGATAATGACAGATAATGAATAGGGAGACAGTGCTGCACTTCTTCAAGGATACATGAGGGCTTGTTTGGGGCAAATGGAGACAGTTCATCTCTTATGTGGCTTGTCTTTCTGTTCAATCTTCACCTTTCTCCACCTTCAAAGACATGGAGAGAGTGAGTTAAGGGGAGAGTGATACCAAGTGAGAGAGACCCAGCAAGGCCGTAATTCAGCCTGCTAACCCTGCACCAGTGAGACAGTTTCTAGAATTTACCGTGACCAAGGGTGAGCCAGCAGTCCACCTGGCTGCCTCCCAAATCCCCTTCTTTTAGCTCTCTACACCTCCTTTCATCCCCTCACTCTGTCCCACTACCCACCGGCTCCCTTGGCTAATAACTCACCCTATTGTGGGACCATTAGGACGGGTCCCTTGTCTTATGAATTTGCCTGCCTATTATTTATTTATTTGTTTATGTATTTTGAAATGATGGCCCTTCTTGGATGTCTCCTGCCATAGTAAATAAGGGCCTCTATTTTCTTTTCCATGGCTGTGACAGCGGGGGCAGTGGCATGGGAAATGATAGGAATTTCACTGCTATAAAATACTGCCCCCGCTTGGTTGGAGAGAGAAGTGGTTGTTTTTGCTCCCCATCCAGTTTTATTTATCCACTGCCATAACCGTCAGTGCACTACCATGATATCGATTGCACTCGCCATTCTCTCTTAATACGAGTCGACGCTTGTGGAGTATTTTATTATGGGCACGGATTTTAATGGGGCCGAGATTAATACCTCTGTCACAGAGGTTGATTCCCTCCCCCTCCTTCTCATTCCCTCTGTGGATTGTACCATGCTGGTGATCAGAGGCACAGGCTCATGGCCTTGATGTGAATGGCAGCCTATAAAACCTACAGTCAAACTAAAGTGCTGTACCCAGCTGCGTTACGAGCGGGAGTTGAAGAATATGCGTCATCTCTCGCATATTTCGTCCAGCCCCCACCAGCTGCATTATTATACCCGAACCATCACTTCCTAACTCCCTGCTATCATTTCCTGGTTAGAGCCCTCATTCCCCGTCATCTCTATATCCCTCTGCTCTTTCGTTCCCTTTGCTAAGATTGATCATACACCAGCATGCAGCAGGTGTTTCTGGGTGGCATCTCTCAGAAAGCAACTGCGGATGTCAGTCGTCACTGATGCATAAGCCACTAATGAGTTTTAATTTTTATTTTTCTTTCCCGCTTTTCTTTGTGCTTTACTGCCATCCCACCACAGCTAATTTTCTTTGAAGAGGTGACAGCTGTCAAGAGAAGTGGGTGTACAAATGGACAGCTAATTAGTTTCTCTGGCCTCAACCCAGAAGCAAACTTTTGACCACTTTCTGTCTTGCTCTTAAGGGCACGCTTACTGTCGGTTCCGATGGGTCACTAGTCACGCGCAGACCCTGCACTGTTTTTGTCAGGATGCGCAGCAGCGCTTTTGCAATTACATCTGTTTAAGACAATGGTGGCCAAGCCCAGTTTCTATGGTGATGAGTAATAACAGCCATTAGAAAAATAATTGGGATGGCAGTGGCAGGCCCTGATGGCCCCCGATATGAATCACAATATTGATGCAGAGAATGAGAGCAATAATGACTACAATTAGTGGTAATTGTCAAGATTTTTTTCTCCATTCCATAAAGTATTAGAGTCTCCTTTGTCTTTATTCCCCCTTGGTTTCTTTCTGACTTCGGTTCAATATCCACTGTGTCTCTGTGTTTCCCCTGACGTGATGAATATGTAGGCTTTGAGTATTTCATTAAAAAGGATTATAATCAAAGGGGGATTAGATTTGGATGAAGTTCCAGGGATCAGATGATGTCAAAGTAGCTTAATTGCAGTATGTTAACACCTGCATATGCACACCCAGTGCACACACAGACATGCATGCAAAACCTGCTCAGGACACACACTCTGTTGCAGATATAGACATTTATTTTGGCCCAAAGCAGTCAAGTCAGCAACTCCTTCTACAGCAGCTGCCATCTGTTTGTCTCAACATTTCTTGCTTTCTAAAGGTGTTTTACAACACTCAGAAACACTGCTAGACACAGCAGTGAAATATATATAGTACTGCCATCTTTATCAGTTCTTCTCATTGCCTGCTTCATCACTGTGTTTCAATATTGGTGTCGTTCTTCCTCTAAATCCTCCCCGCAGCCAACACATTGCCAGGGAGAGAGGGAATGCAAATGGAGATGCAAATTGGTAAATACTAGTTTTGGAGGCCCAGCAAGCTGGTACTCTCTTCAAGGCAATCACATTCCACTCCTGGCTGGAACCATATGACTAATTGCTCCGCAAATCATTTGAATTCAAACGACGGCTCTCAGTGTCCATTGTGCTCAGCGGGAGGTGTGACTCAGCCGAGTCGTGTCAACGGCCTGACCCACAAACACGGAGGGTGCAACAATCAGAGCATAATCAACCTCCTCATTACTGACTCTTGAGCTGTCAGCAACATCAAAGAGGCTCCCTGCTATTTCTCAGCCCCCTTGTCTAAAAATATTGAGTTGGAGGACCCAGACAAGTTTGTTTGAAAGACTATGTAAGACAGTTTTTGGGACTGTGAAAGTCACTTTCCGTACACACGTGCTTGTGTGTCTGTGCTCATTTGTTATTGCGTACTTTTCCAACCACGTGTACATGAAAGTGTCCCTATGAGAACCATTTCATTTGGATAATGGAGTGTAATCAGTGGGTTTAGAATGCACCTGGTAGAGAAATGGCATTAAGAATGTGTGAAGTCCAATTAAAGCTCCCATCCTGGTTTCATAGCTCGGCACTTTGGCCAATTACAGACTTGTACAGTAATGCTGCTGCAACTTAAACTGTTCATATACACACAAGTAGTGAGAGGGCAGCAGTGTGGTCATCTGTTTGAATGAATTTAAGTTGTGTGCACATGTGTTTGGCTGTATGCCACCAGGTTTGTGCTTATGCATGGCCATTCAAGCATGTATCTAAAGCCCAAGAGACAAACAGCCACTTAAAGATTTAAGCGTTATCTGTTCAAATGTGTTTGTTGATGCATTCTGTTAGACTAGCCCAAAGCAATGTTGTATGTGTGTGTTTGTGCATGTAAAGAAACGAATAGCAGTAATTATAATCATCCATCTTATTATCGTATGAATGCAGTGCTCGAGAACCTTCTTTTACCTGTTGAGTCCTTCGGTGGCTTCTCTTTTGCTCTCAATCGCTTTATCACTTTATCTCTTTCTCTTTTTTCCCTCCTCTTCAACATTTCTTTCATCATTGTGTCTGTGTGATGAATAGCAAGTAAATGAGTCATCCTTTAAGTACTATATTTTATAAGATTCAACCTCAAGAGAATTGAACAACTCTCTATTCCCTCAATCTGTTTTCTTTTCTTTTCCCCTTCTTTCTTCTGGATTGTCCAACCTCTGTATCACTATGTTTACGTCTCTCTTTATCTCCCTCAGCCCATTGTCAGGCAGTGCAAGCAGAGAATGTAACAGTCTTGGAGGGGGGTACGGCTCAGATCTCCTGCCGCCTGCAGAACTACGATGGATCGATCGTGGTCATCCAGAATCCCCGCCGCCAGACTCTCTTCTTCAACGGCACACGAGGTGTGTATCTGCGTGCACGCTGGTCTCTGCAGACAAACCTAATTTATCCTTGTCTATGTATTTGCCTTTGGTGACATTTAAAGCGAGCCTTTTAAACACATTAGCAGTGACTCACCAACACTTTCACTTTACATTTTTCTTCTCGCAAATGTCCTCATTTTCCCTTTGAAGTGATTTCACATTAGAAAGTCAGCTAACCACCACGTGAAATTAGGAGATGGGTTTACTGTGTGCCCTAACAGTGTGACTACTTATCTGTTTTAAAAGCACAGTTCGAAGCTTTCTGCATAATCCGCTGTTAACCCCAGTGATGAGATCAGAACTTATTAAAGTCCTCATTAGAGCATGGCCTTGACAATCACATGTTTTTTTTAAATACAGCTTTATGGCAAATTATCATTGTAACCAATATTTTAATGAAGGCAGAATTCACTGAGGGCCTCGGGGTAGGCAAACTCTACCTGTTTTTTTTTCTTACTAATTAAGGGCAGAAGTTGCTACCTTAGCCAGATTTGCAGCAGAAATGCTGCTAGGAAACCTCTGAGCAAAAGAACAGCGATCAAGGATATTAAACATTGCTTTGAATTTTGTGTGTAGCAGCTTAATTGAACCAAAAAATGTGTTATTTATGCACTACATAATCTATGTGATAAGACATTAGTTTGGGCTTAAGGCTACAGTTTAATACTGTGGCTTGTAAATGTTCACAGTAAAGGGGAGGATGGTTTATGTGCTTAGTTCAGGCATATAAGACACCAGTAGCCTGGTCTCCTCCGAGCTGAGCCCCTTTCCTTCAAGTCAAACGCAAACAAGTTCTCAAAGGAGAAAAAAAACATAGACACTGATCAGTAAAGAGGAAAATATCTGTTTAACTCCCTTATTTAGTGAGCTGGATTTAATATTAAAACCAAACAAACTTTGAAAACAAAATCCTATTAACCAGCTAATCAGCTAGCTGCTGCAATCTCCCAGTAACGAAGAGCCAGCACAAATGTGTTCACAGATGCTTGGTTTTGAGCATACATGATATTGTTTTGCACAGGAGTCTTCCCCCGCCAAAATCACATCAAAAGCACAGTCTGCAACAAGCGTAAAAATCATCTCTATCTGTTTGGAAGAGCAGCCAACTAGAAAACCCCAAATCCCTTAGCAAAATCGCTTGCTCATCTTTCATCCAAGGAGCTTTCTATTGTGAAAACTTCTCAACAGTGTCTACTTTATTGAAGATCTACATACCAAGATCCAATTCTTTCCTTCAAGTGGAAGAACACTCGTCTCTCTAGTGCCTAGCTACTCCAAGAAATATGTTTTGATTACTTGTTATTTGGAAAAGGATTTTTTCGCCGCTGTAATTGCGTGACAGGTGATAAGACAGATAATCTGTTTGCTGAGCTAACTTCATTCAAGCTGCTCTTGATGACTGTTTCTGAGCTCCTGAGTATCGTACACATTAACATTTTAATTCCAATCTGCAACTCTCGCTAAGTCAATAATTCTGAATTCTTATCTGAGCATCTTAAAATTTGACTTTTACAAAACATTGTGTTTGTGCATTAGACAGTCTAAGGTCCTAATAGTTATTTTCATGCCACTGGCGGTTTTAATGCAGCTTTAAAGATTTAATAGTTTGTTTTTCAGTGTGCAGTAAGTAGGTAGACATTGTAAAATGCTAAAAGGAGCTTAATGTCAAAATAATGAACGGCCAATAGATCAAGAGCTGATTTTCTTGGTGAGTTGGTACAAGGTGCAATGCTCAGACTTTTTAAAACCTTTTGCTTTTGACCACAGTAAAAAGGAGACTCTTATACCTCAAAGTTGTAATTGCAATCATCTAGTGTGATATTTATATATGTGAAAATCTGCACTTGAACACATTTTCAACTTTCTAATCATTAAAACCTGCAGTTCTTGTAATTACATTGATCCGGCAATCAACACTCCCACACTCCCCACAGGAACAGTCTGCAAAATAGCAGTCAATGAAAGTTTTCTGAACAGAATGCAAAGATGAGAGAAAAATCAGTAAAAACAAAAAACAGTTGCAGGCGTAGTTTCACTGTTCACAGGTGCAGCACTCCAGTGCTTTTGTTCCACACACTTAGCCTTCACTTGTTAGTCACCTCGATCACGGAGCGGACGTAATTGGGTAGTTGAGGTTGCTGCTTTGGGAAACCTTCTCCCCCCCAATTCTATCAGATCAGCACGCTGCCGGTAAGTTCCATTAAGTATTTAAACAGAGTCGCTCCGTCTGCTCTCCCACGAGGCTTGGACTTGCACCCTTTGGAAAGCATGATGAGGCCTAATCAAAACGAGGAAGAAGAAGCGGTTTGAAGGCTCAAATGAAAGAGAAAATGAGAAAGAAAGAAAAGAGTGAGGGAAATGAGAACAGGTGCTGAGGGTTAAGAAAAACACAGCCACAGAGAGAATAAGGAAAGGGAGGATCAGTTGCTGAAGAAAGACACAGCATTAGGAAGTGCTCCAAAGTCTAGCAAAGCTATAAAGCATTGATGGCTTCCCATAACTAATTTGGCTCCTGTAAGAACAAAAAAAGCCTCATTGTGGACATTTTCTGGGAGTGTAAATTGCACCTCACTCTGGCTCTCGCCACCTCCACCATTTCTTCCATCACTTCCACTCTATTGCCCATCTGCCACCCAGATTACAGGCTAAGAAACTAAGACCTTTCTCTGCTGATGTATTCCACACTAGCTGCCCAAACAGAGCTGCTGCACTAAGTGCAGTGAATTAGACTGCCTGTTTTGCTAGTGAGCAACTAGTCAGGGGTGTTTTTTATGCGATTGTGGGGACAGAGAGCTATAATAGAGCAGTAGAACTAACTAAATGGACCCTTTCTCCGTAGTGGTCCATATCTCTCATTCTCATCTTATTGCCAACTCTCCACAGCATGCAAATGAGATAGGACAATCATGGTGAACTTGGACTTGAACAGAAGTCTGACATTTAGTTGCCATTTAGTGCAGAGAGGGGGAAAAAGATTTACCTGTCTGCAGGGAATGGCTCTCTAACAATGCTCTCATTGCCATCCGATGGAGGGGAAATTTTAGGGGTGGGGTGGACAGATTAGTGTGGTGTACCTCCAAGAAAAGTGGACCAACTCCATTGCCCCAGGCTGCTCTCTTAGTCTCCTGTGGATTTCTGTCTTTATATTATTTTTCCCTGCCTGCTGCATTATGTAGTCTATTTTTCTCGTTTTTCTACATCCCTATTTGCTCTCTCTCGCTCACACACTCACACACACACAAGCATGCACACACTCCCGCAAAGCTAATATCTATACCGTAGTGTCTGTTCTGTGTTGTAAATTGTCCTGCGAGATGGCCAGGCCAAATCCAACACAAAGGAAAGAAGAGAGGGACAGAATAAAATAGAGATGGAACATGAGGGAGGTTTCACAGCCAAGTCAATACAAAGTGAGTCTCAAAGGTATTTATGAGAATCTATGGACATGAAACTACTGTCAACCACAGACTGTTATTGATGTTATTTGTCATTATCAGCATTTTTCTCCCTATTGATTGTACTCTTTCTTTGCTAACAAAGGGAAAGTTGTTACATCTTCATTACTCCTCATCCCTCATGTCACTGTCCTTTCTTATTTTTCTCCTTTTTTGGATTATATGGTTAGTAATTGTAGCTTATTGGTCTGAGATTCGGGATTGGCTTTAAAATTGTTGCCTTTAATGCCTTTTGTTATTTTCTATTGTTTGACCTACACAGTATGTTATACGCAACTGTAGTATTCAGCACGTATCTCTGACTCAAAAGTTTGTGCCTCTGAATTTAATATCTTTCCAAAAATGAAATAAATAGCGTGTTTCAGTTCTTCAGAGAAAGTAAAAACAATAATGATTAAAATCTAATAAGACAAACAATAAAAATGCCAGATGCTAATTAAGCATGGGCTTAGAGAGGAAAAAGCATGCACTTAAAAAGAGAGCGAACGAATGCATTCTAGTTAACCAAAGTCCAATCATTGCTTGGGGAAATGAACGACACTCTCCCTCTAAGCTGGAAATGAGTGAACCAAGACATCTGTTATGTTGTATCAATGTGCAGCCTGGAGCTGCTCCACCGAGACTGACTTTGCAAAACTGTTTATGAACTTTTCTATATCAAACCAAGCTTTGGATTTAACAGCACTATCAATTCCAGAGCGGCAAATCAACAGGGGTGCTGTCGCAGCCACAGTTTCTCCCATCTTTTGTCATTTTTTTCCCTCTGCAAAGCTGTTCATGGGAGTGACATCGCAAACAGAGGGTGAAGACTCTTGTTTCAGAGTTGGTGAGATATAACTGACTGTTTGCTATTACAGCGCAAACGATCATGAGGCCACGAGGAAACTGATTCCAATGATCAAAATGTCATGTACCTCTATTGAAGCAGCCTTCAGTTTTCTTGTGCTGTTTGATAGATACTTTCAAAATACTGCAAACAAAATGTAAATGCACTGAATTTTCAAAGATGCACAAAAAAAAAGCAAATCGTGTTATTTGCAAAGTACTTTCAACCAGACTTGGCCAATTTGATTCAACTAGAGTCATGTCAGAAGTCCACCCCAACCTGTAACTTTGGACCTATAATTTTAATCTTAGCTGTAATAAAAATACATGCAGTTCCAGCAACCTGTTCTTGCTTGGTCAGTAACAGGCTGCCTCAATGGCCTTCCAACTACTCGTCCTAATTGCTTTTATTTTGCATTGCTGTACAGGTTCATCCTAGCCTGTCTCAAGACCTCTGAATCTCTGCCCACATAGAAGATACGTGTAGAGTTCCTGAACTGATGGTTATTTCTTGAGCAAAAGTAATGTCCTTTGTCTGTGCTGACCCCTCCCTCCAAAAAAATAACAGAAAGTTACCCCAAAACTTGCATCAAGGTTAGATAAGACTGACGCAAATAAGCAGGTTGTTATGTTGTTCGCCATGTCTGACAGAACACTTGCCTGACCACCTGAGGCGTACAGAAGCAGACGAGGCGAAGATCCTCAAAAGCACTGTCACTGCACAAAAGTCTTGTCAAAAGAATTCTTTCGCTTTAAGCGCAGTTTATGTTGCAATTTCATTCAGTCTGGTTCTCAATGCAAAACCTGCATTTTGCTGAATAAAAGTCCAGCCGACTCTGGACTAGTCTTTTAGTGAGTTTTCTTTTTAACTTGTTTTTATACTCTACCCAGGATATTTCACAGACAATCACAGTGCTTTTTGCTTCACCACATCTCCCTGACACCTTTGGTTGCTTATTTTTCAAGTTACGATTTTACCATATTTAGTGTATGAAGAGGTTTTTTGTGTTTATACACACAGAATGAAGAAAGTATGGAGCTTTTCATTGATCTAGTGTTTCCTTTCAAGCAGCCAATTATCTAAATCTCTTTCATTTTGATATTTAATAGCTTTGAAAGGTTGATTGTGGCCAGATTGTGGCCATTTAAGCTACCCATTACCAGACCCGTTTATTGATTTAGCCGAGTCTACACCGAGCTCTTTTACTTGTTGCGCAACCTTTCAGAAGTTGAAATGTCTTTTCAGGTTTCATCAGCTGTCCCGATCACAACAAAGTGGCCAATCAAAGTAGAATACAGGATCCTAATAACTGACCAGTTGGAACTACTTTGTCACCAACTGGTTAGCTCCCTCTTGTGGAGAATTTGCATCCTGCAGAATAAATTACCTTTTGTGGGGACTAGATGTCAGCTTCCTGATATGCTTTTAAAAATGTAAAATTGACAGATTTACCAAGATGAAAGCCTGCCAAGTAAAATGTATGAAAACAGAAAATTTGTAAAATATGGCATCCTTAGCAGTCATAGCTTTCGTGTCTGCGTGAATGTAAAAAGATCTACATACGTTTTTTGGCTTTAATTAATAATGTCACAGTGGTTAGATTTTAAATAAATGCTTTACATTATAACTAGCAGTGGCTCCATATTCGTGTAGTGGATTGCACATTTGCTTAACAAGCGTAAGATTGACTGATTCTGCCTGACTTGGGAGGAGACACAAATCCCTTTGTGTCAAGAAGGGCATCCGGTTTAAAACCTGCCAAAGGAAACCTGCAGCGCTACCTGTTGTGGTGATCCCACATGACTAAGGGAGCAGCCAAAAGTAGCTTTGTTTCTTATTTCATTATAAATTGTGACTGTCTTTTTTTATATTTGTTTGCTGACTATTGAACTCACCACCCATCATCTTGTTCTTGAGTTCCTCACCAATTCCACATTTTTGTTCCATGTCATTTTCATCACCCCTCCCTTTCTTTCCCACCTTTTCACGGTCCTCTTCTCCGTATCCTCAACAATGCCAACTCATGCGGTTTCACTTCCGCGCCACCCTCTTCCCTCTCCTACTCTCTTCTTTGTCTTTGCCCAATTCCAGCCTTGAAGGACGACCGTTTCCAGATGGTGCTCTTCACGCAACGGCTGGTTCGCATCACACTGACCAACGTTAGCGTGTCCGATGAGGGCGGCTACTTCTGCCAGCTCTACACGGATTCCACGCACCACCAGGTGGCGACACTCTCGGTCTTGGTTCCCCCAGAGACACCCACAGTGGAGGTGAAGCAGGAGGCTGTGGAGGGCGGCGAGGCGGAACTCACCTGTGTGTCACCACGCAGCAAGCCGGCCGCCACCCTGCGATGGATGCGTAAAGGACGGGAGATAGCAGGTACATGGCTGACAGATGGACTGATGAATGCTCAAATGATTGTTTGAGTTAAATGAGGGAGTTAATTGGGTAATAAAGGGCAGGTGAAGTAGAATGGTTGGGTGATATCACAGATTGAGTGCTGAATAAAAGAATGAGTGATTGATCGGTTGATTGGGGACTAGCAGATGGATGTGTTGATAGAAGCAGGTAAAAATAGATGAATGATAAGTGAGCAGGGAAATGTGCGTCTGGGCTGTGGGGCTGCCATGTTTTTTTTTCTCTCCAAACCACTTTCTACATTTTGATCCACTTTTTTTGTGCAATATTTATAGGCAACAGTAAAGTTCCAACTGATTAACAGCACTTCTTTTGAGCCTGGAACAGTAGTATTCCTTCTATTTCAAGCTAATTGAAGAAGTAAATCTGTGTTCATTAAATCAACATCAGCTAAATAATGTAACACTTTTGCCTCTCCGTGTCCACTACAGTGAACATCTTTTCATTCTGAAAACATATACATAGACTTTGTCCGTTCTCTCAAGCTAATCTCTCATGAAAATTAATTTCAGTTGAATTTACTTGCACGTAATCTGACAAGCACACTATTATATTAAACTGCCAGAAGCCTCGCGCACTCCTGATTTTCTTCTTTTCCCATGCTATCTCTTTTACAGCTTCGTGAAGACAGTTTTTAATTCAATATCTTCAGACTTTCCCTACTTCTTTGCTGCTGATAAATCTATGAGCCATCCATCAATCAGATACCCTGATCTATCCGTCGTCTCTAACTCGCTGTCTCCTTTGGGTTCCCTCAGTTAAAGGAGCACTTCGCTCAATAATACATCTGAGAACTATCTTTCCATGGCCCTTCAACCTATTTAACCCCTCAGAAATCATTTCTGTTTGTTTTTACACCCATCCATTTTTTTTATTAATTTTTTTTGTTAAATCAGCATTTGTGTTTGATTTAAATTGCTCCAAAACTTTATCAGTTGACTGAGCAACAACAAAACAGCTCTTGGGGACTAAGTCATGCAAAGCATTTCTGACTGAGGCTTATTGTTATTATTTTTATTCGGTTTTATCTCCAGTTTTTAATATATGCAGACGGTATTGTTCAAAAGTACAAACTGGTGTCAGATGTGTTTTGTATTGTTATTAATTCATTCATTTATCTGTAACTTCAGATAGCTCTGCACGGACCAGATTAAATAAAGTGCGATAATCTGTTGTCAGCAGCTTATTGGACATGCACTGAGCAGCGTTTTGCCCTTTTAAACTTCATGTCAGCTGTCATCTCTTTTACCTTCTATTTTTGTCTGACACCGGGTGTCTCTTTCATCCAGTCTCTTCTCTTTTTCTTTGTCAGAACGCACCTGTCACCGTCATTCTGTGTCTTTTCTCCATGTCCTTATGCTTAACTTCTTCACCTTCTTTTAAAGCAGTCTCTTTTTTCCTGTGAGTTTCACTGCTGACAAAGACGTGAGGCTCCTCGGCGTAGTTGTTGGCTACACAACACTTTAAGAGTCTAAGAGACAGACAGGGACTGTCCTTTTACCTCAGTTGTCTTATCTTGTTTCCTAATGCTTCTCTCTCCTCTCTTCTCTTCCCTTCTTTTCTCTCGCCTCCTCTCTTCCACCCATCTCTTTTGGCCCTGAGTTAAACGAACTGTGACACTAAAGGTTAGAAGCAGATCCCAACAGATATCAGAAGTACTCTTTAATTAAGACGCTATCTTCCCGCCGCACCCTTATTCTTGCTCATCAGCACACGCTGGCATCCTCTCAGGCCTCGATTAAGCTCACTTTCATTTGCTTGCCAGCAATAATTGAAAATTCAGTGCAATATAAGTATATTGTATTCTGCCTAAACAAGCACAAACTCCCAATACGTGACCATGTCAAGTCCCGTTAGTTTGCTGCCACTATTCCTCCTCCCTCCGTCTGTCTCTCCTCCTCCTCTCTTCTTGCATCTTTCTTCCACTCTGCATCTGCCTCGCGCTGTTATCATCCTCTTTCATGTCTGCCCCCACCACCCCACCCCTCTCACACACACACACAGACACACACACACGCATCAATCATGCTTGTTTTGCTGCCCTCGTTCTCTCTCTGTGCGTCCCTCTCTCCTTTCCTTTTATTCTCTCACCCTGTTCCTTTGACGTCCTTCTCTCTCTCCATGTCTGGCTCAGTTAAAATCTCAATTGGGTTATGCATATTTTCTCTTTTTATCCTTCTCTCTCCTCTATCTCTCTCTCTCTTTCTTTCGCTCGCACGTAGACAAAACATTCAGTTGATTTACTATCGGAAAACAAACTGTGCTGCTGCTCATAATTGCCATGAAATATAGATGCAAATTGCTTTCTATTCTCTCTATCTCTTATTTGCTCCCTCACCACTCATCCTCCCCTTTACAGGTACCTGGTGATGCTCTAAAAAGCTCATTCATCAATCCCTCACTTCTTACTCTTTTTCTGCTCAGTTTTTCTATCCCCCTTTGGTTTCTCATGAAAAAAAGAAAGCGAAATCCCTTCTTCTCCTCCATCTCGCCTTCTCCCTGCAGCTCACAGTCCCTTAACATAGGTGTGATGTCTCAGCAGGGAGAAAGTAAGAACAGGCATATTTTGGCTGCTAAAATGTTTCTTGGCCACCTCACCTGTATTATTTACTTCCATTCTTTCAATCCCCCCTGCTTCCCCTGCCTGTCTCCAGGTGTGGTATCCCTGCAGGACAATGGGAAGACATTCAGTGTATCCAGCACCATCCGCATCCCGGTAGAAAGGAAAGACGATGGGGCAGCACTGAGTTGTGAGGCATTCCACCCTGCACTTAATGGGCAGAAGAGGATTCGGCATTATCGCCTGGATGTGTATTGTAAGTCCCTTCTCTTCTTTTGTGTGTGTGTGTGTGTGCCTCCAAACAATTTCTATCCATCTTTCAGACAAATTAAGTAACATAATGTTCATTGCCAAATATTTCAAAACAAACATTATTTCATCTGTAATACTGTCACTGAAAGTGCTACTTCAGGCCTCTTCATTATAGTGTTTTACTTTAATGCCAGCAATAATTTTGTCAGGTTAGCAGCCTCATTTTTCAAATGGTGATATCTCATTTTAGAATGATCCTCATTTATACACCGTCCAGGATTTTAACAGAGTGATATTCAGAACTGCCCTGTATGAGACCTGCACTCATTAAAACCTAATACATACAAATCCTGTCATGCAGGGAGCTGCCAGAGATAGGAACATGGCCAGGTTAGGCTCCTGGCCTGTTGTTTAAACAGCTAAACAACATCAAGTGAAAGAAATGTGGAGTATATTAGTATGTGAAACAATCCCTGCCCTACATTGACTTTGTCTTTTTGTTGCTGATGTCTTTGCACAAGTTTGTGTGCACTAAATTGTAATGTCCTCTTAGATGAGGCAAAGCGGGAAAACTACTGAAAGAGATAACTCCCTGAGTTTTTGTATTATATATTTTATGCCACACTAAATTGTCAGCATTTGTTTGGGGTTTTTTGTGTTCTTTTTGAAGTCTGTTTCAGTAGAATCAGTGTATAAAATGAGAAAATCAGATGTAAGCTTGTCAAGTTTGTTTTTGATGTGAGGAGGAACAAATATTTGCTTTCAGCTCAGTGTTTTGATTTGAAGATATTAATTTGTACTACTGTGTTTGCATGCTGCCTAAGTGAAACCAAAAACTGAAATGGACTGGAAGATAAAATTTAGAAAAAAAGAAGGCACTTTTTGGAAAATACAGGGAAATGCGTCTCAGTAACAAAATCCAGAAGTGATAGAGACTAATCAAAAGCAGCGTGCCAGCAGGACCAAAACAAGGGACACTCAAATATACAGGGTGTGGTTCTGTTAACCTAACCACCAGAGCTGATTGCAGCCACTCAGGCAAAAGACAATGCTTCCGATCCCACCAGAGTACACTTTGGAAAAATTCCAAAAATGACTCTCCCCTCAGAATTTCTACTTTTTCATGGAAGTCACGTCAAGCAGCGCAGAGCAGATGAGGAGGACAGGAAGTTAGACATGGGGACGGCATAGAGAATCTGGTCAGTTTTCAGAATATAAGAACCCATGCAGACTAAACGCTCCATTTCTGAAATGCTACTGGTGCGCCTTGAAGTCTTGTGATAATGGAGCAAAAGTGTGTCAGAGGCAAGACATCAAAGACATGTATCACATGTATTTCAGGGGTCAGGAAAAGAAGGAAAAGGGAACAACAACATAACAAAGTCTGTGGGGGAAACGCACAAGCTATACACACCAGGGAAAAGGCTAATAAGACAGGTGACAAGACACAGAAAATACTACACAGGGACAGAACAAAACAAAAAACATGTTCCAGCACAAAAATCGTGGCACATTTTTATTTTATTTTATTATATATATATTTTTTTAGAAAAACAAAGATTGTGCAAAGTTCATTTTGTTTTGTTTTTTCATGTGGATCCCTATTTCCTTCCATACTGGAATTGTCTTGTGGGCAATTGATAAAGGGCATTATTATAGCAGATAAACTGTGATGAGAATACAAGATAAAAGTGCATACAGTGTAGTCTCTCTTCTCCCCCAATACTAATCTGATGAATTTCAGCAGTCAACCATATTCAGTAACTCCATTAGTTGCATCTTCACTGTTCCTGACAGCTTGATGTGATTGCTTGATCCAACAATATATCATTTTGAATAGTCAAACATTTCCCAGGCATATGTAGATATTTATAGATGTGGATGATTCATATTTAGCGAATATGTTTACATCGGCCTTGTGAGTTCAATTAATTTGCCACTTCTATATTAATGTTTGTTGATAGATCAGACTGGTGAGCTATCAACAAACATTAACATCTCTGCCTGGATGCTCCTCCAGCCAGAAAACTGGCAATAATGACCAACCGCGGGTGTGGATTTGGCTCCTGATTGTTCTGTTACTGAAGCAAGTGCACTACAGCAGCTGCTGGAGCGGTGGGCTGCTTATGATAACAGGTGTCTAAACCATAGGATTGTCGCACGGTTGCCTTGGAAACAGATGTCAAAGACAATTTTCCTTCCATGTTCTAACTTTTCCCTTTCTGTTACCTGTCTTTTGTTTCGGATTCTTTTTTTCTTTCTTGATTTTTTTCCCTGTTCCTGTCTGATTCTTGCATCATTCAGATCGAGAAATGTTTTTTCTTTTTTTTCTCTGAAATGCTTACTCATGTCACCCTCTTCCTTTCTACTTTTCTACAGTTGCACCTACAGTTCGAATTGTTCCTCCTGCTGGCATTTTGCGAGAGGGCGACTCGCTCACCCTCACCTGCTCTGTCACTGGGAATCCTCTGTAAGTCTATGTGTATATGTATGTGTGGTAAACAGCTTGGCATTGGTGCGCTTTACATTAAGAATGTGCTGCTTTTGTCTTGCTTTCCACATTATTTACCAGGACACATTACGAAGATAATGCAATCATGACAAATGAATTTAGCTTTAGTTTTCACAAGATATGTAAAAATTCTGTTTGCCATCTGGTTTCAGGCGTTACTTGTGAAAGTGTTGCAGGCTGTCATAAGAGAGAGATTTTTCCATAATTTTTCAAATGAATTCCAGATGAAGTAATCATAAATTATAAATTGTTTGCCTCGACAAAGCAACGGGTTTTGACAAATCAGTTTAAGGGTACGCAAACATCGTTTGACTGACAAGGGCATGCAGGAGTTTGCAGAGTTCAGTATCAATCCTTACAAATAGAAAATTTAGCAAAATTGAATCGTGTCTAACACAGTTTTGTGGAATTGTTTTGAGCTGCTGCTACAAGAATGACATTTCATTTCTAATATTGCTAAAGATTTGTAAGGCTTGACTTTATCTCTGCCAATCTGTTAGCAGAACTCTGTTTTACACATTTACCCAGACCATTAATTATAGATCATAATTAAATCCCACCAGCTAAATATAGAACGAGCTGGAATAACAAGCAACCCTAAAGAACTGCAAAAGAGCTGAAGTTACTGTGGCCCCAGTAACACTAGAGTTTAATGTATTTGTTTGTTTACTGGTTTTCTTTTAATATTTTTCAAAGAACAAAAATGTGTGAAAAAATCTAACAGAGTAAACTTCAATTTTGATTTGTTGAAGGTTCAGAGAAAGTGTTAGCTGTCAACAATGTCAACAATGAAGTGATAAGGGGTGCTACCAAAACTTTTTTGCCATTTATGGGCTATAGAGGTAAATTGGGTGCAGTAGGTGATCTGTGACTATCCAACAGAGAGCGTCTCTGAAATATATTACTGTTTACTTTCCAAGTAATTACTATCCACTTTCGTTTAAAGAAAAATCTCCTTCTTAATTGCTATTGTGGAAACATCCTTGAATAACTTCTACCTGCTCCAGTGGAGCTTTTCACAACAGAAAACAGGTTTTCCTGGACAGCTCCCAAATGTGTGAGTATAAAGCAATTATCACAGAAGGGAGAACATGTGTGCTTAACCAGCATTACTGGTTCTAAAGGAAGAAGAAAATCAGCGAGACCTTAGGCACTCTTAACCAGAAAGCTACAACAGATTCATTGTTTTTGTCTAATACTTTTTTCACATTCGTCTCTTTCTATATAATTTCTCATTGTGATCCTTCATTTCCAGGATTCTACTTCAGAAACTGAGTGCAATTATCAAGTACTTTTAATTTCAGCCATCTTGTTTGTGTCTGTGAAATTACTATATTGCATAGACTTATCTTTGTCTTTATCGTTGTACTTTCTTGGTACTGTGCTCGGAAATCAACACTATCTAAATATCAATACTTATTATTGAAAATATTGGGAAATGGACTTGAAATATGAGCTGTAAGCCATATTTATCTTCTATTACACGTGTAAATGTACAATATTAAACCACGTGATATATTTCTTGTTGTGTAAGGACATGTAAACGTAGCAGTGTACTTCTGACTTTGATGAAAAGCAGAAGAGTGGTTTCACCTGACATTTACCGTTTGACAGATGGATAAAAACCTGATCCATATTTTATTGCATGAAGGACAAAGAGAAGAGGCGCTTTAGACTGTGCCTGATAGGATATTGGAAGTGTGTAAGGGGATACAAAGAATTCTGTCTAAATGTGGACATGGTATGCACTGTGTGTGAGGTTACCCAAACCCAATCAGCAGTCAACAATTTTAAGATCCGACCTTGAAATGAAGCCTTTTTCTAGAGTGTTGGCAGCCCTTTGGGCACTTTCTAGAAGGGTATTGGGGCCTAAGCTCTTAAACCCTCCCCTAGATTTTCTGTCTGTCTGTGGGCATTGGGTCCACTAAAGCTCCCTAGTAAAGCCCATTGCAGCTAAAGTGTGTGCATGTGTGTTTTTGTGTGTGTCAGTGTGATGAATTTAGTGAAATCCCACAGTTAGGACTGGCTGAGAAGTGTATTGGCTATAGCCCCACTAAAGCTTTGTAACGGCTGGTTGGGGACACTGTGTATGCGTGTGTGTATGCGACAGTGAGGGATGGGACTTCAGGCAGCGCTGGACTATGACCCTCATCTCATGCTGGACTGCACACCCATAGACACACACACAGTCACACACACATTACAGTACCCTTGTCACCCTCGCGCTTGCTCCCTGGCCCTGTTAAATGCCTGTTAAGCATTAATGACTAATTATATGTCACTTCCTTGTGGTGAAGGGTACACTCACTGTCTGTCTGTTACTAGGCGGGGAGATTAAGGCAGACAATGTCTTTTCATTTAGCTTGATAGCCTGATTATTTGTGTGTTATCTTTGTAAGGGATTACTCAGAGTAAGAGTGCAAGTTTGTTATTGCAAGAGAGGAAAAACGGGAGATTTTGTTTGAAAACATCAGTGTGGAAAGGGAGAAAGTGTGTATATGCATCTATGCTGAACCAAGAAGGTGGTTTAATTAGACTTCCTGAGGGATTAGATCCCAGATGAGTCAGGATTGTAATCTGGCCAGGGTGGCAAGAGCCATGAAACCCTGCCAGACACACACACACAAAGATTTGGGGGTCTGTAATCCTTGTACCTCCCATCTGCTCTGCCTTCCCAGCCTTGTGACCAATGCATTTTGTCTGCCTGCTTCTGCACTTCAACTCCTACTACACATTTTTTCCCTCACTCTACCTGTAATACATTCTTCTCGTTTTCTTTCCTACTCTTAACACCTGACAACCCTTTACTCTGTCATCTGCCCCCTTGTCACTCTTACCCAGTTCTTTCAAGCACTCGCTGCCCTCTAACCACATATCTCATGATTATTTATCGGGATGCATCCCTCGCTTGCCACGATTTCTCCTCCAAGACCCTTCTTTCATTCTTATGTCAACCTCACCCTATGGGCTTCTTTACCCTCCGTCTTCACCTCTTTTTTTTATCATTCCACCACTTCTGGTAGTGCCAAAGTCAATCTGATACTGACTTCCTTTGCTTCTAAAATTATTTAGCTCTTCAGGCTTTATTAAATATCTTTCAGACTATGCGTATTCTATCTATTGCATTGTTATGTGAGGTACTTGCTGACAGTGTTAAGCAATGTCCTTGGAAATATTTGATTCAATAACCCATATTTTTATCCCGTGAATTTAATAACAGCATGACTACAATGATTATTAAAGAAGTTATAAATTACATTACTTATTAACTAACTACCAGTTCTGTCAAAAGTGCCTCTGAGCTGATCTAAATCCTGAACAGCCTTATATCCTGTCTTCTTTATTTGACAAGCATAGAAGCATAAAGTAATTATACAATAAAGTTATTTTTATTTGGACAAACAACAAGTTACATGTTAGAGATACAGTGGCCACTAACAGCTAACTAAGGCCAATCTTTTACCTCGTTCTTTTACTGTCAAGGTAAAGCCTAAGGGTTAGTCGTCTCTTCAGAAAACATGAACTAAAGTGTGTGATTACTGCATGTAAGCTTATCTTGAGATATCTTTTTTCCACAAGACATCTCTTTTTTTAAACAATACAGCTTGCTTTGTCATTTTGAAACCACATACCAGCAGAGATCCAGAGCAATGATCAGGGAACGCAGGTAGAACGTTTCTGAACTGATAAAAGACATGCAGCTACTCAAAATGTGTATGTCTATGCTCATGTTACGTGTCACGGGGACAGCAAGTAGACAAGCCGAGGTCTCGTTTTCCCCAGCCACCTCCAGTTCATCCGGGGAAACACAGGGGCATTCACAGGCTAGAGTGTCCTGGGTCTACCCTAGGGTCTTGAAACACCCCACCTAGGAGGCCCCAGGAGGCATCCTAGTAAGATCACTGAACCACCTCAGCTGGTTCCTTTCAATGTGGAGGAGAGAGGTCTACCCTCATCCCCTCTCAAATGACTAACCTCCTCATGACATCTCTAAGGCAGAACCCAAACCTCATTCAGTGGAAGCTCATTTCTTCCACACGTATCTGCAATATCATGCTTTCGGTCACAATACAGAGCTTGTGACCATAGGTGAGGGTAGATTGAGAGCTTCACTTTAGCACTCAGGTCTCCACCAAACTCCCATCATGATAGCAAATAGCACTGCTTCTTGTAGGTATAATAACAAACTGCAAAAATTAGACATCTAAAGCTAAAACCTATAATATTTAAGTTAGAAGATTCCAGCATTCTAGTCAGCTAGGGCATTTGGAGTACATGTATGAATTTCATTTGGGCAGTCCAGTTTCCTGGGCCAGAGACATGTATGTCAGGTTAATTAATGACTCTTAAATGTCCATATATATAAAGATGCTGGCCCAAATCAGGGTTCTGCCCTCTCCTTAAACTATCAACAGTCTTTGACAGCACTGATTATGTCATTTTACTGACAGGTTATGGAACTGGGTGGTACCTCTAGCACTGCTCTCAAATGGTTCTCATCACACGTATCTAACTAGCACTTCAGAACTGCATGTCCTCAGCAGGACCGCTCATGTGGGTCCCCCGAGGCTCAGTGCTTGGTCCAATTCTGTTTTCTTTATATATGTTAGCCCTGGGTCATCTCCTACCATTGCTATCTAGATGTTACACGGTTGACTTTTGATAACTGATTGAAGGTTGCATATTTCTTACAGGCCCAGAAACACTCAGTGGTCCAAGATTAATGACACCTTACCTGAGAGGGCAGAGATTTCTGGCACTACTCTTCAGATTTCCCGTCTTAGCCAATCACACAACGGGACATACCTGTGCCAGGCCCAGAACGACTATGGTCGTGCTGCTGATCATTACACGCTGTTGGTGTATGGTGAGTAAAGATCGCTAACAGTGAATTTGCTGAACATTTTCTTAGTATTAAGACAAGTGCTTGCAAAGTTTGCTCCAGTGGTTCTTTTTATGTCCCTTAAGTTTTAGTACCTGAGGCTGTAGTTAACGGTCCTGAATAATTTTATGTTCAGTGGTTGCTTTGTTAAGCTTCTTATTTCTTTTCTTATTTTTTAATGATAATATTTTAGAGAAGTCTTTTAAATTGTATTGATTCTTTTATCTTCCCAGAGTATTTGGAGTCTGTCTATACTGGCAGTGGGCAACAGACCCACTACAGCATGATGCTTGTCTCATTTTTCTTTCAGCTTTATTTGTTTTTTTGATTCGGACACAGCAGGAAACCTTTGCTAAGCCTGCTGTGCAACTGATTTCACAGTGCTATTGATTCCACGAGGAGACTAGCATGCACAGATACTAGTCACCAACATTATTATTCTGGCTATCGCTTGTAAAGAAGCAGCTTATTATCTCCACTGTGACCCAATCTTCTCCTCAAGGAATTCAAAATAACTTATCTTCAAGTGCAATAGCTAAAGATACAAGATATTTTGACAACTAATGAATTTCACAGTGTGTAATGACACGGACAAGACAAGGACAGAAGTTGAAACACAGTGTGCAGTGAAAAACCTGTTGGAATTCTTTTCTTGTTGCATGAACAGAGGTTCTAGAGGGGAGGAAGATGCTGGTAAAATGGCTTTTGTTATCACGATCTGCAAATAAATTCACTGGTGCTACATTCCCAAAGTGTATGTAGTAACCTGTTCTAGTAAGCAAGCTCACAATACACGTCTATACTCTTACAATGACCCCCAGTAGATTTTAGACTTTGTTTTAAGCACTAAATGGAGAAGATCCAGATTATTTATCTCAGCTGCTTCTCTAACACACTGCTGAGATCTATACTACTAGGAAGTTTAACAAAGCCAGGCTGGCTTAACAAAACCCCAAATTCCAGTTGGAGCTGGTATCACAACAGCGTGATGGGCGTTTCACGCGTCACAAGACTCCACTTCCACACAACGTGATCTTTGAGAATGCCTCCTACTCCAGTTGAGATATTATAAGGTGATGATGATAAAACAGTGATATAAATCTATAAACAATATAAAAAAATCTAACAGTCAATCGCAACACTGTCACAAATAAAACAAGAGATTAATGCTGCAGAAAAATCAATAAGCTTGGAATTAAGTGCGCCGAGTGAAAAAACAAAGAGCAAGTTAATTATTTTATCGCCACTTGTGCACTCAATGTTGCTGTCTGTTTCTAACATGACAGCCACGCTTTAGAGCTCAAGAAAATATCAACTGGATGCAATAAAATATTAAAGGTTACCATTCCACAGCCTAATAATGGAGATGTGGAAATTGCTTTGGTTTATCGACAGATCAAAGTGGAATTCATTCTATTGATGTGTTTTCTGTGTTCTGGTAGCTGCAGTTTCATCAGTGTAAAACAGACTTAATAGTACATTAGAATCAAGTATACAAACATTTATCCATTTATGCATACCAACTGAATATATGCATATATAAGCTGGGCTTCATGTATGATGTTAGTAAGGTCTGGCTGCATATATAAGAATCAGTGTGAAAACGTCTCTTTTCACAGATTTTAAACCCAAACTCTGAACCTAACTTACTGCTGTCCAGGTTATATGTTCACCATAAGTAACCATGGTGATTTAGCCAGGTTTGAAAAAGAAAAAGCCACTGTCATGACTCATCACAGCTCACTTACCAGTTAGCGCTGTTAGCATTCTGTGATTGCAGGTTCAGAGTTTCTTAGCTATTGCACACAAG